ATGAATGAAGAGCGAAAAGGCAACTAGGCTGTCATTTATTGAGCAACTACTTTGTGTCAGGCTGGTGACCAGGTGTCTGAGAATTACCAATGGGGTAAAAACCCCATGGCCCTTGGTTAGATGAGGAAACAGTCTCAGAGAAGTAAGTTCATTTGCCTGCCGTCACAGGGTCAATGAGTAGGAGATCTGGGACTTGACTCTAGCCCTGCCTGACTTCGGGGGCCTCTGGCTCCACTGCCTGGCTTGGGGCTGTTTCCACTGCCTGTTAGGGCTGCCCTGTGGCTTCCTCCCCATTTCTGCCAGGCTCCAGCCCACTTCCCAGGGCCTAGTCTGGCTGCTGAGTCCAGCTCTCCAACACCAGGAACTAGTCCTCCTGAAACCCAAGGCTCCTACAGATGGCCAGGCAGGCCCTCCGCAGCTGCTTAGAGACAGTGGTCTGTCCACCTTCATAAGCCCACCTGCTCCAGCTGCCCGTCCCTCCACCCCATCACGCTAGGGGGTGACGCTGGGGCCTGGCTGAGTGGCTGCATCTGGGGCCATGAGTGAGGAGAGGAAGGAGAGAAGGTGGAGGTTGGAGAAAAGTGGGGGTGCAGAGCAGGAGAAACCAGAGGACCAGGAGGAACAGGAAAAGGGCGAAGACGACGGAAGCAGAGCAAGGGCGGCAGGAGGAAGATGGGAGCGCTCAAGTTTATAAGAGACCATTGGTTTGGACTGAGCTCCTGCCCTAGGCCCCACTGACCAAATCAAAATGGAGTGACTCGTGCTGACGTGCCACACCAGCAAGCCCAAACCAAGGTGTTTGCCCAGCCTTCCAGTTTCAGCCGGCAGGAGAACGAAATTCCCTAGGATTTAACCTTTACAGGGAAAGTAACTTTGAAAGGACCATTCTGCTTTTTTGTTCTATCTTCTTCCTTCTGCCCATTGCTGTCTGTAAATCTCTTCTGTTCAACTCATCTGGACACATAATTCTATTTTACAGAATGAGATGTTGTTGCTCAATTCTACAACGGCAAATAGAAGTCAATTAAAGGCTGGGTGTGGTGGCTCACGCCTGTAATCCCAGCACTTTGGGAGGCCAAGGCGGGTGGATCACCTGAGGTCAGGGGTTCAAGACCAGCCTGACCAATATGGCAAAACCCCCTTTGTACTAAAAATACAAAAATAAAAATAGCCGGGCATGGTGGCATGTGCCTGTAGTCCCAGCTACTCCAGAGGCTGAGACAGGAGAATTGCTTGAACCTGGGAGGTGGAGGTTGCAGTGAGCTGAGATCGCACCACTGCTCTACCCTGTGCAACAGTGAGATTCTATCTCCAAAAAAAGAAAAAAAAAGTCCATTAAGGCCTTTAAACTAAATTTGTTGTAATTTTGTGACAGGAATGAGTAAGTGAACTGGTAAATGAACATACGGAAGGTGTTTCCGTCCAGGCCATCTGGCAAACTCCTATTCCTCCTACAAAACCCAAGACGACTCCTCCCGGGAGCCTTCCTTGCCCACACCCCAGCCCCCACAGCCACTTCTCACACTGTGCTTTTACCCAGGGTCTTGCTGTGTGACTGGCTCTGCCCTAAACTTTGTTAAGTCTCATCTTCTGGACTCTTCACCGCAATCCTCTGAGCGGCATTATTGCTCCTATTTTAAAGGAAACCGAAGCACGGAGCGGTTGGTCTGTCAGATGTCCAAGTGGCGGGGACTGGGGTTTTGCTCCGTGGCTTCCAGTGACATCATGGGTGAGAAAGGGCCTTGAAATCTTGGAATCACCTTCCTAAGGCAAAGAACGGTTGCTGGATTTTTTTTTCTCCCCCTCCCGAGTTTTGGAAAGCAAAGACATGGGACTCTGGGCCACACTGTTCGGGCTCCAGGCTCTCTGAGCCTCAGTTTCCCTACTGAGGGTGAGGAGGTGCGGTGGCCCCGTCAAGCTTGGGCTGCCCGCCCGTCACTGACGGCGCTTCAGAGCCTGCGCAGCTCTGGTCGCCCAGCCGGGAGCCCCGAGGATGACGCTTTGCTGACCCCTAGTGGCTGCAGGAGGAAGTGGAGCCTTGACGACTGGAAGAATCGGCCGGGTCCTGCAGAGACCGGAGGAGGAAACTGTAGGCCCCCAGGGGAGGTGAGTAGGGACACGAACAGAGCACTCCTCACGCGAGAAAGAGGGGGAGGAAGAGAGGGGACGGGCAGGGTACTCTCTAGGAAGTCCCCAGGAAGGCTGGAAGTCCGAGGTTAAGGCATTGGCAGGGTCGGGTCCCTCTGGAAGCTGCGAGTGACACTCGTTTCTCCCCTAGCTTCTGGTGGGTGGCCGACAATCTGCGGCACTTCTTGCCTTGCAGAAACATCACCCCAGCATCATCTTCACATGACATTCTCCCTGTGTGCGTGGCTCTCTCCAAGTTTCTCGTTTTCATAGATACCAGTCACATTCCATTAGGGGCCCACCCTACTCCAGTATGATCCACTAATATAACTAATTACATTTGGCCAGGCATGGTAGCTCACACCTGCAGTCACAGCACATTGGGAGGCGGAGATGGGATGATTGCTTAAGACCAGACCACCAGCCTGGGCAACACAGTGAGTCCGCCCCCCACCCCTCAATCTCTACATAAAATAAAAAATTAGAGAGGTGTGGTCATGCACGCCTGCAGTCTCAGCTTCTCCAGAGGCTGAGGCAACAGGATCACCTGAAAGCCCACGAGTTGGAGGATGCAGTGAGCTATGATTGTACCACCACCCTCCAGCCTGGACAGTAGAGACCGTAGCGCTTCAAAAAAATTGCACTTGCAATGACCCAGTTTACAAATAAGGTCACATTCTCTAAGGTACTAAGGATTAGGATTTCAGCATATGAATTTGGGAGGTTCCCATTCAATCCATAATAATCACCATTGCTCTACTCTCAAACTATTACAATCACCCCCACCCCTCCAAGTGAGAGCTTCTAGGGGTAGAATCTATTACTTTGTACCCCTACTCTGCCCAGTTCCAGGAGTGAAATAGGCACCAAGTATCGGGTGAAGAATCAATGAAGAAATGGATGAGAGTAACATTTATTTAGCATTTATTAGTTTCCACCTTTATGATAATCATTTTAACCACTTTAACAAGGTTTTCCATGTGCCCCCACATCTCTGCATTCCAGCCACCACCGTGCCTTTGTGGAGTTTCTCAGAGCTATCAGGCTCCTCCCACCACAAGGCCTTTCACATGCCGCTCTCATCTGGGACGCTCTTCTTTAGCCCTGCAACCTCTACTCTTCCTTGAGATCTCAGCTGGAGTCTTCTCCTCAAGGGAAGTAGCTTAGACTTGTGTGGATTCTGTTTTTTTAACTTCTCAGTTCGGGGGTACATGTGCAGGTTTGTTATAAACTCGTGTCATGGGGGTTTGTTGTAGATTATTTCATCACCCAGGTACTAAGCCAAGTATCCAAATAGGCACGCAGTAGGTATTGGTTGAAGAATGAATGAAGAAATAGATGACAGTAACATTTATTGAGCACTTAACTGTTTTTTTCTAAGTTCTGGGATACGTGTGCAGAACGTGCAGGTTTCTTACATAGGTATACGTGTACTATGGTGGTTTGCTGCACCCATCAACCCATCGTCTAGGTTTTAAGCCCTGCATGCATTTGGTATTTGTCCTAATGCTCTCTCCTTGTCCCCCAACCCGACAGGCCTGGGTGTGTGATGTTCTCCTCCCTGCATCCATGTGTTCTTGTTTTTCAACTCCCACTTATGAGTGAGAACATGTGGTGTTTGGTTTTCTGTTCCTGTGTCAGTTTGCTGAGAATGACGGTTTCCAGCTTCATCCATGTTTCCACAAAGGACATGCACTCATTCTTTTTTATGGCTGCATAGTATTCTACGGTGTATATGGAGCACTTACTGGTTTCTACCTTTATGATAATCATTTTAACCACTTTAGCTCATTCAACAAGGTTTTCCACTTTTCCAAATGTGAGGGAACGCTTCTAAATGGAGTCCTAAAGGGGAAAGAACATCTAAAACATTCCTAAAGAAGAATCATGTTATAGGGCAGTGGTCCCCAAATGTTTTGGCAGCAGGGATCGATTTTGTGGAAGACAATTTTTCACGGGCTGTGGGCAGCGGACATTAGATTCTCATTGGAGCATGCAACCTAGATCCTTTGCACGTGCAGTTCACACAATAGGATTTGCATTCCTATGAGAATCTAATACCGCCGCTGGTCTGACAGGAGGCGGAGCTCAGGCTGTAATGCCCACCTCCTGCTGTGCAACCCCCATTCCCGGCCCTGGGAGGCCCAGGGTTTGAGGGCCCCCGTTTTAGGGACCTCAACACTGACTACAAAGCAATAGTCGTTAACAATGTGGCAAGAGTGCAGGGATACACAGACTACAGGAACAGAAAAGACAGCCCATAAAATCACCCCATCTGTGGGGAAGGGGATAGGACAGCAAGGTGACTGCGCCGCAGTGCAGCAAATGGACTCCTTCATGAATTGACACTGGACTTCCGAAGAGAAAAAAAAAAACAAAACACTGAATCTCTACCATACACCATATACAAGAATCAGCTCCAGAAGGATTAAGAACGCAAATGTAAAGAGCAAATGTTTAAAAAGTTTAGAGAAATAAATGTATTAGGGAATTTCTTTGTGACTGGGGATTAGAAATAATTTCTTCAAGGTTGGCCGGGTGCAGTGGCTCATGTTTGTAATCCCAGTACTTTGGGAGGCTGAGGCAGGCAGATCACAAATGTTCAGGGATCCCAAAAGAGGCAAGGGAACTGCAAGTCAGGTGATTCAGAAACAAAGGCTCAGAGAGGTTGGGTACTGTGTCCAAGGTCACACAGTTAAGAGCTAAGCAGCTGCAGAGAACTATAAGACTCCCTAAGGGTTCTGTTGCCCTATTCCTAGCCCAGATACTTGCCAATTCTTACTTCTATCACACACACACACAGGCACGCACGTGCACGCGCACACACACACCCCCCAGCTGCCAGGGGAGATCAAAGACCCACAGCAGACAAGTTGCAAGTCATACTTCACTCACTCTCTGGTTGGTCTGGAAGGTTCCTGGGCAGCAGGCCTGGGTCCTGGGAAGAAGGCATGGTAGGGAGGGCACTAGTTGGAGGAGTGGAAGGCGCCAACATTGGTACCACTGCATATCGTGGACGTGGCACACGGACTGTACCTGGGGGTGATGTGCCCCGAAGTCGCTGCTGTCCTTGTAGTCTCCCTTCTCCAGCAGGTACTGCAGCCCGCGGTAGCCGGGGTACTGGTAGCCAACCCATCTGCAGGACCAGAGGTGAGGGGAGGGTGAACCGGGGGAACAGGAAGAGAAACAAGAGAGAAGCGAGGGGAGAGAGCATCCATAAACCACTAGGAAGGGTGAAGCCTCCCAACCATCGCCAGTTCCCAGGAGTAAGCAGGACACCCTTTCCACCCCACCCTTCCAGCACTGAGCCTCTGCTTTCTTCCTTCTCTTGATGGGGAGTTCACTGCCTCCTGAAGCAAATTTTGACTGAAGGCCTGGTACTGGGGTCAGAGAAAGGGGGTGGTATCTTAAGCTCACTGAAGTTTAGAATAAGTCAGACCTTTGAACCATCTCCATCCACTCCTATTCCACCTCCAAGCCCAGCTGCAAGGCCAAAGAGTTGGGGGAGGTTCCAGCGGACTTCTGATGAAAAGAGGTTCCAGGGGCTACTTAATGAAAGTACTGGTCTTCTCTCCAGAAAATGGCACACAGGCCTGGCCTGCAAGGACCTGCCTGGCCAGTCTCTGTGGACATATCCAGCACTACCTTTGCATTCTTATGCTCCCACATCTCTGCATTCCAGCCAGTGGCCTTTGTAGAGTTTCTCAGACCTACCAGGCTCCCTCCACATGCACCACAGGGCCTTTGCACATGCTGCTCTCATTGTCTGGGACGCTCTTCCTTGGCCTCTTTACCCCCGCAATTCCTACTGTTCCTTGAGATCTCAGCTCAAGAATCTTTTCTTCAAGGAAGTAGCTTAGACTTATGTGGATTCTTAAATTATTAACAGTTGCCCCCCCTTCTAGACTGTTGGCTACACAGGGCAGAAGCCAGATCTCTTTAATCTCCTTCACTCTGGGCACCTAACACAATGCCTGGCATATGACAGCACTGACAAATTGAATGAATGAATTAATTAATTAATTAATGAAGGGAATGAGGGAATGAAGGGGAACAGGAGCACAGAACTTTGCACACCACTTTAGGAGTTTGACAAACCCCAAGAAGCCAGTATGTTTGGCTAAACTGGTTCTGCTGGGGGGAAAGAGCCTTAATTCGTAGCACTTGCTGATTTCTATTCTGTAAATGCACCCACTGTGCCTGGTTTCAAGCTACCAATGATTACTCAACCAGTTCACACAAATTCTGAAAATGTAAGAGTCGGTTCCAGGCTGGACGCGGTGGCTCACGCCTGTAATCACAGCACTTTGGGAGGCCAAGGCGGGCAGATCTTGATGTCAGGAGTTTGAGACTAACCTGGCCAACACAGTGAAACCCCGTATCTACTAAAAATGCAAAAAATTAGCTGAGCTTGGTAGTGGGCACCTGTAATTGGAGCTACTTGGGAGGCTGAGGCAGAAGAATTGCTTGAACCTGGGAGGCGGAGGCTGCAGTGAGCCAAGATTGTTCTATTGCACTCCAGCCCGGGTGACAGTGCAAGACTCCATTTCAATTTAAGAAAAAAAAAAAGGTCTTACAAGCTGGTATAAGCTGTTCAGCATACCGCTGCCCAAAGCTCATCTGTGGACCCCATGGAATCCAAATTTTTTATCATGAGAAATCCCCCATTGCTGATGGCCAGGGTCGATGTGCCCAGGAACTTCCATTCAGAGGAAAATGACACCTCCTGTTCCCAAACTTAGGGACACATGTGGTCAAAGGCAGCATGGGCTGGTCCTCCTGCTTCTCACAGCTTTCAGACTACTCAACTCATTCCTTCCCTCCTGCCTCAACCTAATCCTCCCCCTGCCTCAACTTGCCCCTCTGACATACATGTCTTGCTCACTGGGGCTGAGGTAAAGGCCAAGGTTTCTCCACTCCAAAGGCCGTTTCCCCAAAGGCAGCTCTAGAGAGAAATTCAGGGGCTGTAAGCCACCTGTGGGCAGAGAATTCCCATTTACTTTCCAGTGGGAAGCCAGAGGTCAGCAGAGTACACTGATATGTGCAAGATCACCAGTGTACACAGAGCAGAGCAGGACTTAGGACCCCAGAGTCTCAGTTCCTGGGGCAGGGTGAGCCAGGGCTGGCAATGCGCTTACGTGCCACTCTGCACCCGCACAGATGACACCTTCTCCTGGTAGCCATGGGCGTGGAAGCTGGGTACGTCGTCATCTATGATTTCCATCTTCTTCCCGGTGAAGTTGGGGTTTTCATAGAGGATGATCTTGTGCTCTTGGCTGTCCTATTGGTAGAGGATATGGGTAAGTGAGTATGGGTGACGGGGCCCAGGGTTGGCCTTCCCACCCCATGCTCATGCCCCAGAGTTGGGATCCCCATGTCCCACACCTCACTCTCTGCCCAGTGCACCTACTATGTGTCTATGACAACTGCTGTTGGATCGCAGCCATTTGTTAAGTTTCTACTGGGCCATTTTCATGTAACAGACACTCTGAAATGCAACACTTTGGGGAATATTTGATTCTGAAATGCCATTTTTTCCTCCTATGCCTCAAGTTTCTCTTTTATAAATGGCAGCTATGATCCACCACCCACTCACAAGTGCACACCCACACATGCACACACAGGCACATTCATAATTATGCCATTTGGCAGACGAGAAAAACAAGGCACAGAGAGGTCAAATGACGTGCTCAAGGTCACAGAGCTGGGAGCAGCACAGCCAACATGGCAACCTGGGTCTGTGGGATGTGAAGTCCAGTGTTCTCCAACCTTCCAGTAGGTCCTGGGAGGAGCTAGACTGGGCTTGGAGGGTTTGGGAGTGTAACTGAGCAGTGATGGGCCCTGTCCCCTCTCCGACAGTTTACACACTCACACACTAGTAAGAATCAGGATCTCAGAAGCACTGAAAACTCACACTGGCATGAGTCTTGAAGAAGAGCTAAACCACCTTCTTCTCCAGTCCTGAACTCAGAATTTCTTGTATTTCTGATGGCTATTGATTATTGAGCAGTGACTCTGTGATGGGAGTTGCCCAACCCTGCGGGGTGGGGGGCACCAACCACGTAAAATAGAATGTGAATAGTGCCCTCTGGAGCATTTCATAGTCTTGTGATTGGAGACCCCTGGAGTTGCGCAGCGTGACAACCCTCAAGCTAATAAGCACATTGGAATCTCAGGACAGTAGATACCAATATGCCCATTTTACAGATGAAGAAACTGAGGCTCAGGGAAGTAAAATGACTTTTGCAAGGTCACCCAGTGAGGAGGTTCCTCACCAATCAGAAGGGGCACAATGCTAGAGGGGCAGGCTCCTTCCTGGTCTCAGGACCTCCGGCTCCAAGGTGGCAGAGACAGAAAGTAGGATGATGGGCAGAGAGAGGAAATAGAATGATGGCAGGGGGCTCACCACTTTGATGGGCCTCAGGGAGCTGAGGGAGTCCGTCCTCCGGCTGCTGGTCCACGAGTCCCAGCGGGGGTACTCGCCCTTCTCAAACACAAACTGCTCGCCCTTGCAGTTGGCCTGTTCATAGCCCACCCAGCTGCCATGGAGACAGAGAGAAAGGGGGCAGGTCAGTTCCACTCCAAGCTTCCTATGGCAGGATCCTGGCTACTCACATTGGCTCCTGGGGTTCACTCTTGCCCAACCCGGCAAGATGTAGTAGCCCCACCCGAACCTTAGCACGGCAAATCCAAGCGCACAGTCCCCCCAGTTATCCAGAACTCAGTGCTATGTTGCCTTTAACCACCTGGAACACAGTTAAGAAATAAGAAGGCGGTCTAAATAACGGCCCGCAACAAATACCAATATATAGATGCCATGCACTAAAGCCAATAGTATACTGGTAAGTTAACAGCCAACTCTCAAAAAACAAAACAAAAATTAACACTCTTGATTTGCAGCGTTTGCCAATTTCCCATGGTGTAAATGCTCCCACTGTGGCAGATTTCAAGCTATGGCACAGCTGCAAGTGGAGCTGGGGAGAGAGATGCACAGTCAGCCTTCACCACTGAGAACTGACCCCAGAACCCCTCTGTTGTGCCCAAACCCCTCTCTTTGGATCTGTTTCTTCTCTTGTCCCTGTTGTTAAGACTCTGCCCAAACTCTGGTTTTGTAGATCCACATTAGAAGAAAAATAGTACATTAAAGAGGGAGGGATGGCCTTCAGGTCAGGCATGGCTTAGAGGAAGGCAGAAAACAGAAGAAAGAAAACACAAATCTCAAAATGATTAGCATTCTGGGGCCAGCCAGTGCAGAGGCAAACATTTCAGCAACGTGCAATAATGGCTGTTCAGAGGAATAATCTAAGTTATTAACGAAAGAGGAAATGTTTATTATTCTCTTTTGGAAGAGTAGTCTTGATCCAGCAATTCTCCTTTAGCAAAGGGTCCTTAGAGAAACAGTTGTCAAGGGGCTGGGCACCATGGCTTACGCCTATAATCCCAGCACTCTGGGAAGCTGAGGCAGGTGGATCACCTGAGGTCAGGAGTTCAAGACCAGTCTGGCCAACATGGTGAGACTCCATCTCTACTAAAACTACAGAAACACTGGCCAGGCATGTTGGCTCATGCCTTTAATCCCAGCACTTTGAGAGGCCGAGGCAGGTGAATCACAAAGTCAGGAGTTCGAGACCAGCCTGGGCAATATAGTGAAACCCCATCTCTACTAAAACATACAAACATTAGCTGGGCATAGTGGCAGGCACCTGTAATCCCAGTTACTCAGGAGGCTGACGCAGAAGAATCGCTTGAACCTGGGAGGCGGAGGTTGCAGTGAGCCAATATCGCACCACTGCACTCCAGTCTGGGCAAGAGTGAGATACTGTCTCAAAAATAGAAAAAGACGTTCAAGTGCCCAACTGACATGAAAAAATGCACAACCTCACTAATCAGTGAAATGCAACTCGGAAACACAATGAGATACCATCCCACACTGGTCAGATGGCCATTTTTCCAAAATTAAAACATGCTGGTGAGGCAGCAGAGGAAAGGGAACACTGCTACACTCTTGGGGAATGTGAAAAAAGGTTCACACTGTGGAAAGCAGTGTAGAGATTCTCAAAGAACTTAAAACACAACTACCATCAGACCCAGCAATTCCATTACTTGGTATCTACCCAAAGGACAATAAATCCTTCCATCAAAAAGACACATGCTCTCCTGCATTCATGGCCGTGCCATTCACAAGAACAAAGACTTGGAAGCATCCTAGGTGACCAGCAACAGTGGATTTGATTTTTTTTTTTAATGTGGTGCATACACACCACAAAATACTATGCAGTCGTAAGAACACACAATTCTGTTCTAAGCAGCATGGATAGACCTGGGGATTATCATGTTTAGCAAACCAAGGCAAGAACAGAAAACCAAACACTGCATGTTCTCACTATGAGTGGGAGCTAAACAGTGAATACATTCGAACATAGATAGAAACAATAGACC